GGGGGGTGCTAGATTTAGCATCACCCCCGAAGGCAGGAAAGAGGGAGGGAGGAGGGCCGTGGGTGGGCAAGGCGCGGATGCCCGCGGGTCTCTGGATACTGAGCGGCCCCCCTCCAGCTCTGCTTTGCTGAGCTGCAGAATGTGAGAACCAGAGTCTTTTTCATTGAAGGACTGGGAGGGATTCCGTGGGAGGAGAGGAAGGAAGGGAGGCGGTTCCTGCCTCCCCTTCCACACCCCGCACCCTCAGCCGCACCTGCTCACTGTGAGAGGCCTCGGGAACACGCACCTGTCCTTAGGTACCTGGCTGCGTGGTCAGGGCCCAGCACAGTGGGTCCGGGCTGCCTTTCGCTGCTCCAGCCGGTTAAGCAGAGACAGGGTTGAATCGCATACGAGCCTTTATTCCAGTCCTGCGGGCGGTGCGGGAGAGCAGGCGGGTCATCCCGAAAGATCTGCTCTACCCGCCTCCCGTAAGCCGGTTGCTTATCCTGGGGAGAAAGGTTACGTGGGGAAGGGGCAAAGGGAGTGAGAGTGGGCGCTACGGTTTACAGGTCGCAGGAAATTCGGGCTGGGGGCCTTGCAAAAGGGCGGGGCGTCTCCCCGACCCCTTTGTTTCAGGAACAAGGTTGTTATCTTTCCGCGATAAAAGGAATAGGGACTGAACTCCAAGGCCAGCTCCCACGTCCCACTCCGGGAAGTGGGGCGTGCAACTCCCAGCCAGGTTAGAAAGTGCTTTTTCTAATAAGAACAAAACAATCACAGTTAACAGAACATGATTAATATTTCTTGTATCTACAGCTAACAGTCATGGTTAACAGCATGATTAACACTTCTGCCCCCAACAGGTCCTCAATAAGTACTTGCTGAAAAAACACATGGGCGAGTGCCCTTTCTTTAGGACCTCCCTGGGCCTCAGTTTCCCCGCATGAGAGATGATAGGGCTGGCCATGCCTGCCACCCCAGGGAGGACGCCGTCCCTGGCCCTGGCAGGATCCCTGGCACACTCACTCACGGGCTCCTTGCTGCGCTGCGGCTCCTCTGCGTTTGGTGAGCAGGTGCAGGTGGGGCGCGTTTCCTAGAGGCCTGTGCCACTTGGCTTCCTGGCAGAGGACGGAGCGCTTCCCTCCATCCTGGCCCTGAGCCCGGGATCGCCTGCTCCAGGGAGGGTCTGGTTGCTCGGTTGTGCTGCCCTGTGAGAGGGGAGGGAACTCGGGGCTGCCAGCCAAGGGCGGAGGGGGAAGGACCCGGGGGAGACAGCTCTTGGAATCTTGTGCAACCCAAGCATCTTTGCAGAAAGGTCCTCTTACTTTGGGGTCCTGGAGTTGAATGCTTAGCAGTCCCTGCCTTGCAGGGCCTGGGAGAATTAAATAACCCTGGCCAAGCAGTTAGCCAGGCTTGGTGCCTGGTAAGTGCTCAGCTGGATGTTAGCTACTGCTGTTACTATGGAAACCACGATCTTTGTGTACTTTTTCCTCATGGGGAAAATGTTGATGGGTCCCATCAAATCATTACAGGGCCTGTGACCTTATCGGGCCTGCGACCCCCCACTCTGCAGGGGTCCGTGGCACAAGATCTGATAGTCAGGCTGAAAGGCCAAGCCCTTGCCTGCCAGGCCTCACTGTGGACCGGTGGCCTTGAGGCCCGGAGGTCTGAATCTTTGCTGAAACCCGGACCCATCTGCCCCTGCAGCACACAGGCACCCAGCTCAGGCCCAGCCAGTGTCTATCTCCTCTCCTTCCTCCTCCAGGCCTCAAGGGCCAAGGCCAGGCCAGACGCCAGCTTGTCAAGGAGACGGATTCAAGGCAGCCTTGCTGTGGACGGACGGCTTGGTGTCCTTGGCCTGGAGTGGAGATCAGTAAGCAGTTGTTTTTCTCTTGGCAAGAAAAATAAACCTCTAACTTTTTCAGGTGCTGCCAGGCTTGCTTTCTTTTCAGGAACTCTGCAGCCCTGTCAGGTGGCTCAGGCTGGGCCACAAGGCCAGGGCTCTGGGAGCCGGCTGGTTATTTGGACATCAGTACCTTGTAGGAACATTCTGGAACACAGCCTGGCAGGTAGTAGGCATTGAGTATCTATTTGTGGAAGAATAGCTTTTTGAGCACTTGACCATGTACCAGGTGGGATATTGAGTGAATAGTTCATTTAATAATCCTCCTGACTATTGGGCGAGTGCTCATTTTGTAGGTGAGAACACTGAGGCCGAGAGAGACTAAGTCACTTACTGAAGCAGTTGCCTTGCTTCGGGGCCCTGCTTTTCCCATTCTGGGAGACAAGGACATGTAACAGCCGCCGGGGCTGCAGAGAACGTTGAACTTGGGTTGTGTTCTTGCACTGATAGGGAAGCCAAGACACAACCGCAGTTAACAACTTGTTTCTCAGATATAGAAGGGCCTAATAGAGGAACAGTGAGTCCCTCCCACCTAGTTTCCCCACTTTGCACACCCATCATTTTCCCTTGGGGCCACTGCTACCGTTTTCTCGTGTACCTTTCCAGAAATACTGTGTATATCCAGTCGTGTGCACATGTATAGCCTTTCCCCGCTTCACCAGCAGCAGCCTACTAATGCTTGGGGTTTTTTCCTTGTAACAGTGTGTCTTGGAGCTAATTCATATCAGGATGTGTAGAGTCACCTCTTTTTATTTTTTTATTTATTTATTTTTCCAATCCTCACCCGAGGATATTTTTTCCATGGCTTTTCAGAAAGAGTTGAAGGGAAAGAGAGAGAAACATTGATGTGAGAGAGACATGTCGATTGGTTGCCTCCCATATGTGCTTGGACCACGGGGGCTAGGGGTTGACCCTGCAGCTGAGGCACACGCCCTTGGCTGGAATCAAACCCGGGACCCTTCAGTCCAAGGGCCGACGCTCTAACCACTGAGCCACACTGGCTAGGGTGAGTCACCTCTTTTAAAATAAATGCATGGTTTTCCCCTGGGGTACGTGCCTCTCATTTTATTTACTCAGCCCCCCATGACAATTGTCTTGCAGAATTTGTCAAACACGTGAACCAAAGGTTAATATTCCACCCCAGAGACAGAAGGAATTGACAATCTAAGGGGGTGTGTCAATCTTTTTTTAAAATTAGCCCTTTAAAAATCTACAATTCAGCGGCATTTAAGTACATTCACGATCTCTGTGATTCCTCAACATTTTCATTGCCCCAAAAGGAACCCCTGTCCCCCGTTAGCAGTTGCTCCCATTCTGCCCAATGCCCCCTGGTCCAGGCAACTACTAATCTACTTTCTGTCTATGGATTTGCCTAGTCTAGGAATTTTGTATAAACAGAATCATACAGATGTGACTTCCGGGTGTGGCTTCCTTCACTTAGCATGACGACTTTTGAAGTTTATCTAGATTGCAGCCCATGGCAGTGTTTCATTCCTTTCGGGCCTGAGTCCCATTGTGTTGTGGGAATGGGCCCCGTCGTGTGGACCCACCTGATGGACAGGGAGGTGGTTTCCCCTTGTGGCCGTCTCGAATCGTGCTGTTTGGGTGTATACCTCGGAACAGAATTGCTAGGCCATGTGGTAATTCTCTGTTTAATTTTTGGGGGAACCACCAAACTCTTCGATATCAATGTTTTTGACCTCATGTTTGCCTTACACCCGGCAGCCACCAGCACTGGGGGCTGAACTAGGAAAAGATCAGATAATTGCTGTATGGAGCCTGGCTCCTCGGGTGTCACAAACTGCTTGGCCTGTCCTTTGTCTGATGTGACCCCTGACCCCCACTTCTCGGTTGAGGGTCATTGGCCAGGAGACCGAATTGCTGTGCACGTTGGCTTTGCATTAGGAGGCCTTGGACAAATCCCTTTCCTTCTCTTGAACCTCAGTTTCCCCTTTTACACTATGGGATTATGATAGCAAACTAACGACCTAGGATGCCTGTGAGATTATGCGGATGTGTAGATGTTTTGTAAACTGTAAAGTGCTGTTTCAATCATCTCCTGGCGACAGGATGCAGCCCGGAGGTCACTGTGCAGAAGTGTTCCATTTGTCCTGCCCAGTGTTCAAAAATATTTGAAATAATTATTAAAAAAAAAAAATCATGAGATCTCATCTAACATTCTAGGTTTAGGGCTTCTTTTGGGGGAAAAAAGGCGGGGGTGGGGTGGGGTGGACACCAGGCAGTGCGAGGCCCAGATCCCTGTTTAGCGACAGTTGGCTGGAGCTGGAAATAGCTGCCCCCTCTGTGGGGGGTGCGTGCTCTATTTTGGGGTTTTCTCATACTTGGTTCCTTTTGGAATGGAGTTTGAATTTTTTTTTTTTTTTTTAAACCATACCCGAGGATATGTTTTTATTGAATTTTAGAGAGAAGGAGAGAAATATCAATCGGTTGCGTCTTGTACGTGCCCTACCGGAGACGCAACCTGCAAACTAGGTGTGTGCCCTGTCCGGGAATCGAACCCATAACCTCTTGGTGTGCAGGCTGGTGCTTCAGCCAGCTGAGCCACCCAGCCAGGGCGAGTTTGGAACGCTTGCTACATGTGTGAGGAGGGGCTTTTAAAATAAGGAAAGTGGGGTATTCATTTCTGTGTAGACTCAGAGGTGAGGTTTTGCAAGATTTTTTTAGGATGTCAACCCAGGCAGGAACTGGGCCGCTGACCCTTCCTCTCTCTGCAGGTGGCACCGCTGCTGATGGGACTGCCCCGGAGTGTCCGCGTCACATGAGGTCCCCGCACGCACCATGTCATCATGCATCTCTAGTCAGCCCAGCGGTGACCGGGCCGCCCCCCAGGATGAGCTGGGGGGCGGGGGCGGCAGCAGCGAAGGCCAGAAGCCCTGCGAGGCCCTGCGGGGCCTCTCGTCCCTGAGCATCCGCCTGGGCATGGAGTCCTTCATCGTGGTCACCGAGTGCGAGCCGGGCTGCGCTGCGGACCACGGCCTGGCCCGGGACCGGCTCC